TTTCAGGCAGCCATGAAGTCTGTTCTATTCACATCTTTGTGGTTATAGTTCTGTCCGCATAATAGGATGATGTTACTGATGATGTTATCTAGCATGGTGACGAAATGTCTGAACGAAAACAAGCCAGCTCGGTGAGCAAGTCCACAACCTCAATCCAAGTAGATAACATCCATTGGCTCTCCTTCGTCTAACCTGCTCATTGCCTCCTCAAAGAATTCTAACAGATTTGTCAAGCATGACCTCCCCTTGATGAAACCACGCTGACTTTGCCCTATTTTACCATGCACTTCCAAGTATTCAGAAATCTCATCCTTCACAATGGACTCCAAAATCTTACTAAGGACCGAGGTTAAGCTCGGTCTTTTGCTTTATTCCCTTCTTAAACAGAAGAGTTACATTAGCGATTTTCCTGCTGTCTGGTACTCTCCCTGACTCTAGCAATGCCTGAAAGGTCACCACTAACACCTCCACTATCTCTTCAGCTGTCTCTTTCAGAACTCGAGGGTGTAGTCCATCTGGTCCTGGCAATTTATCCACCTTCCGCCCTTTCAGTTTATCTAGCTTCTTCTCCTTGGTGATGGCCACACTCACCTCATGCCTCCCCGACTCTCTTGAATTTTTGGGATATTCCTCATGTCTTCCACTGTGAAGACAGATGCAAAGTACTTATTCAATTCCTCAGCAATTTCTTTGCTCCCCTTTACTACTTCTCCAGTGTCATTTTCCAGCTGCCCAATGTCTACCTTTGCCTCTCTTTTGCCCTTTATGTATCTAAAGAAACTCATGGAATCTTCTTTTATATTACTGACTAGCTTACCGTCATATTTAATCTTCTCCATCCATGTTTCTTTTTGCTATTCACCATTGCTATTCACCAACTCTCTGGCTTTTGTGTCCGAAAATGTCAGCATCTGGTTTGTGTCCAGGGTTTGGGAGAATGGGAAACTGCACATCAATGAGATGAGATGATGTGACCGGAGGGGTGATGGGAACCTGGAACTCACTGCCCGAAAGGGTGGTAAAGGCAGAAACCCTCATAACATTTAAGAAGTATTTAGATGTACATTTGGAATGCCAAAACGTACAAGGCCATGGGCCAAGTGCTGGAAAATGGGATTACAATAACTTTGTGGTTGTTTTCACTGGCACAGACTCAATGAGCCAAAGGGCCTTTATTCTGTGCTGTAGACTTCCACAACTCTACCTGTGATCGTACTGAATGGCAGAGGAGGTTCAAAGGGCCAAGTATCCTGCTCCTGTTCCTAGTTTCTGTGTTTTTCTATGTATTTTTTCTGCATTGGATCCTGGATTCATATATAGAGGTATTAAGTACAAAAATGTCAATGTTTTGCTGAATGTTTGTAAAGCCCTCGTGAATCACAACCGGCGTATTTCATCAAGTTCTAGTCACTACACTTTTTGAAGTATGTGATGATCTATGAGACGGTGCAGAGGGGATTTACCACAGCAGGACCAGCGCTGAGGGGTTTTAGCTACAAGGATAGGTTGAAGCTGCACAGGACATTAAGAAAAGGCTTCATAGAGATGTACAAGATAGGTAAAAAATGGTGGACAAAGAAAATCAGTCCCCATTAGCTGATGATACAAGGACATGGGAACAGAAAATTAAGATTTTGGGCAAGAGAAACAGGGGGTGATTTGAGATAGAGCTATTTCACATAGTGAGTGGCAATGACTTGAAACTGAATACCTATGAGAATGCTTGAGTCAGAAATAATTAATGATTTCAAAAGAAAGTTGGTTGAGCATTTTGAGGGAAATGAATTTGTATGGCTATGAGGCTGTACAGACAGCCAGCACAGACTTGATAAGATGAGGCAATCACTTGTGTGCCAAAATGAGTCTCTAGGATACCTTAATCTCCTTCTTGTTCTTTCTTGATGACATGGTGGAAATCAAGACTCATTGCATCATCGCCTAGTGTCAATAGTGCAGAAATATTCACAAGGATATGACCAGAATTGAGGAGGTGCAAATATCAGGAAATAATAAGCAGGCTAAGGATGTGGAAAAGACTAAGATGTAAATCAACTGGGCCTAAATAAATGACAGCCACTAACATATGAATAACGTCAGAGGAATTACTTTTCACACAGTAAGTAAAATCGGGAACTTGCTGCCACATAGAAAAGTTAAAAATTGCAGAATGACAGAATTGTTATGGTGCAGAAAGAGGCCATTCAGCCCATTGTTTATACATGATGGATAGTATTGATGCATACAGAGAGAGCTTAATTCAATCAAGAGGCAACACGGACAGAGGAATTCGAGAGCAAGATGGACATTGGTAATTAGAATGGGTGAAACTTTTTATGGAATGTAAATACTAGAATCATTTGTGATAATTGACATATTTCTCTCCTGTAGCTTTTATGAATAGAATCTTATTGGGTTGTGAGCAACACGGGCTATGATGATATGTGTGGACAAGTGCAATGAGAACCATTTTGACCTCGAAATCATCATGCTCCACCTTTTCTTCTTTTCACAAGTAACATAGTTCTTGTTTGGCAGGAGTGAGATGCCAAATGACACTGATTAATGCTTGTTAAATGCTTTGTTAACACTGCACCTCACTTCAGTAATATTCAGACTCCCTTCTTCCTGCATCACTGGCTGTTCCCTCACAGCCTAGAGATGGCAATGACCTAGGTGGTAATCTCAAGCCAGACTGGTAGGACCTCCAGGTATCTATTGGAGAATCACAGTCCCACCTTCCTCTTCTCTGACATCTTGTGCACACGTTCTTGGTCATGCAGGGCTATGTCAGAATGTCAATGCTCATCTGGGTGTCTGCAGAATTTTAAAGACAGTATGGGTACAAGGGCTGCCAGCCTTTTGGCGGATATCCACGGTTGCAAGGTATACTGGGAAAGGTGCATGGTATATTGGGGCAGAAATTGGACATAAGACATACCGTGGATTGGGGTATATAACTAATGAGCTGAGTTCAGTAAAATAGGATGAGAAAGTTCACTAAGCCTTGAAGCAAGAAACTCCAAAAAGCCCAACACAACTTGAACTTAGCCAAAAAAGCATAAAATTCATCCATTTATGATTTCCTCGCATGACCTGACTGGAATTCATTACCTCCTGTCTTTCCTCTCAGTTGTCACTCTAGACAGCTTTTGAAATGCAAGCTAGATGGCAAGTAACCAGTACTAACTGATTTATCTACTCTTTCCAAGTCTACTTGTTCGAGACTGTATGTTTTGGCCAATCATTTGGTTTCACCAAAATAATAATGTGAAATGAGCAAGTTGTGAGTTCTGCTTAACAGTTATGTTATTCTGAATTTATTCCTGGGATGTCTGTAGGTTTATGCTGGAAGAGAGCCAAAAGCGTTTCTTCGAGAAAATGGCCATCAACTGTAACAATTATGCTGACCTGATCCCGATGTCGTTTGTGCTCGGTAAGAATTCTATTTGTTATCAGCCTGTTCTCTTGATCTTCCCTCCGCTTGTAAATTAAGCTTTGGAATTTTTTGGCAGAGTTTCCTTTGAGATTATTTTCCCTAAATAAGTTCTCCTCAGTATAACACTTATGGAATGGGGGATTGAAATTCACCATCAGTAGACACGTTGTATGGTCTTACAGCAGGCCACCAACAATAACCTATTTAGCAATACACTAGATCCACACGGCCATTTGAACAACTGCTAAATTGGCTGGGGTCTGTTTTAGATGAACCTGGGAATATTTGAAGTGAACTTTGGCCTGTTTTTGATTAAAGGAAGTTTCCTACACCTTTCTCAGAGCATTGTGGGTAAACTCATTGGCCATTGTTGCAGTCTGTGCTTCCATAATTTGAACAGCCTAACCAGCAGCTATCCAAAAAAGATCCCTAAAGCTTCTGAAGTTCAACTTCTTGTGGAGTTAGAGGTAGTTGAAGTGCTACGCCTGATTCCACAAAATACGTGTAGCTGCTCCGAAAAGAAAACACATTTGGAGAACAAAAATTAACAAGCTGTTTAAAATTAACAAGAGATCTTGCATCAGTTGCAAGTTATGGAAGAGAACTCCAAACTTCTACCAAACAAAGTATGACTTCTACCCTCTCATATTCTTATTCTCTAGATATCAAGATCAGTATCCTATTAGTCTTTTAATTACTTTCTCTACCTACTCAAGACATCTATTGATCTATGCACCTAAACAATACCATAACCTCAAAAATGTGTCTTGAATCTCCATTGATTTCTGAAGAAGGGTCCCAACCCGAAATATCAACTTTCCTGCTCCTTTGATGCTGCCTGGCCTGCTGTGCTCCTCCAGCCTCACACTGTGTTATCACTGACTTCAGCATCTGCAGTTCTTGCTATCTCCAAACTTCTACCGCCCATTTTATGTGGAAGTGTTTTCTAATTTCACTCCAGAAAGGTCTGGCTCTAGGGTTAAGACTATTCTACATCACATGACCAGCAGAAACAGTTTCTCTGTAGCTACCCTATCCGTTTCACTTAAAATCTTAAAGGATACATCAAATCACTCTTAACCTTCGAATATTGGGGAAATAAAATCTTAGCTTGTGTAATCTTTCTTTTAATTTAACATTTAGCAACCAGATATAATTCTGGTAAATGTATTTCTGTATTCCCTCTAAGACTGAGGTGTCCTTCCTAAGGTGTGGTGCCCACAGTGGGTCACAATACACCAGGACTGCGTACAGATAAAGTATGATTTCTACCCTCTCATATTCTAATCCTCTAGATATCAAAGCCAGTATTCTATTAATCTTTTGATTACTTTCTTTACCTACTCATGACATCTTATTGTTCAATGCACCTTAACAACACCATAACCCCTAAAATGTGTCTTGAATCTCCATTGATTCAGTTTTTCAGCATTTAGAACATGATCTGTTCTAGTTCTTTTAGATTTAATGTGGATGACTTTGGGATACATTTGCCACAATTTTGTCCATTCAGTTAATCCAACAATACCACTTTATAATTTTATGCATCCGTCAGCAAAACTCACAAGGTTGCCAATCTCTATACGATTGACAATTCAGCAAAGTTGGATATCCCGCTTTCTGCCCCACCATCTAAATCAGTAACAAATATGGTGAGTGGCTGAGGCTGCAACACTGAGTCCTGTGGGACACCACTCGTCACATCCTGCCAATTAGAGTGTCTTCCAGTCATTCCTATTCTCTCTGTCCCACCACTCAGCTCATTCAATTGTGTGTCAAGTATTTGCATTCAATTTGCTACGTTACAGCTTGCTAGCTTCTTATGAGAAACTTTATCAAATGCCCTCTGGAAGTCCAGATTAATAACACAAATTCATATTCCCCTGTTCATCATTCCAGTGACCTTTTCAAAAAACTCAATCCTTACAAGTTCATGCAGGCTCTCCCTGCTCACTTGGAAGCTTCAAGGTGTTTTGTCACACAATCATTAACTATAGGGTCTAACAATTTCCTAACAATCACATGTTGGCTTAATTGGTTTATAACTCCCTCGATTTCTTAGGATGCACCATTTTCCAATCTGAAGAAATGTTTCCAAAATGAAGAGAACTTTGGAAGATCATAATTAGAGCATTTGTAATGTTCTCACCTACTTGTTTTAAAATCCAGAGCAGAGAATCATCAAAGCCTAGGTACTTGTCACACTTTAGTGACATTAATTTATCCTTGACTACTATTTTGCTTTTAATGAATTTCTGTCTTAATTATTTCACAATTTCCTTTATTTTCTTTGACAATGTTATCAAATGTCAAGGTACTCATAAGACTCCTGGTCTCTGATTTTCCAAATATAATTTTAACTTGTGTGTTGAAAACATACAAAGCGTAAATGGCCATTTGCCCCTCAACTTGTATTAGAATAAATGATTATTTACAATCCTGATCAGTTCCAAAGTAACATTGCTTTGTGCATCTACCTTTCTAAATCATGATGTGACAACAGTCCAATTTTAAGAGCTAGTAAAAAAGAATGTCTTGTTGTTTGTATGATTGCAGCTTTCTGAGGGCTTTGTTTTCACATTCATTATATATTACAAACAGGGAAAAGGAAATAGTTTGTGACTTGCATACGTTACTCATTATTTCAATTCCCATATTTGACTGTCTATCAGAAAGCATGCCATCTAGATCAGCTTGAAAAATCCAACTCAATTCAGTCCACCCTTGTTTGGACAGAAGCATTATGTCCTTTCACTTTGGAATACCTTTCCAAACCCTCTTGTTAGCTGTCTCCCTCCATTTGACTATGTAACCAATATTTCCCCTTTGTCCTCCTTCCTGATCAAGGTTTTTATCTGTAATGTTTTATAAGACAATATTCATATCAAGAAGGTAGCCAGTGCGCCACTGGGTCCTACTTTGCTGCCCATTGTGATGACACATATCTTTCCTCAGGTTTCTATGTGAGTCTGGTTGTGTCTCGCTGGTGGAACCAGTACCAGAGCATGCCATGGTTGGACCGCCTAATGTGCACTGTTTCCTGTCACGTCCAAGGCACAGATGAGTATGGCAGGATGCTGCGGAGAACGTTGATGCGCTATGCCAACTTGGCCTCCATCCTTACCTTCCGCTCAGTCAGCACCGCTGTCTACAAACGCTTTCCCACCATGAGGCACATGATGGAAGCAGGTGAGCAAATACAACATGGTGGCTGACAGAAAAGAGCCCAGAGCCAGACCCCCAGCCCAGGCACAGCTCCACGTATGTCTGGGGAGTAGGGGACAAAATGAGCAACAGGTTGGGGGATGAGAGTGGGGGTAGTGGGGGGATGAGCAGGGAGAGCAAGTGCAAGAAGGGGTGTGAAGGGAGATGAGACATGAGCGGGGAGATATCTGACTCAACAACAAAAAACCAGAAGACAACTGGAAAAGCAAAGACAAGGGAAAGGGGAATCAGAGCACAGAGCTGGAATACCTGAGGAGGGAGGATGAGATAGGAGAAAGACAGACTGCACAGATGAGAATCGGTTCTTTGGTGTATGGTCAGTCCAGGAGACTTTAGCAGCAGTCAGCCAAGTACTTGCTGTCTCAGTTGTAGAAACGTCAGCTCATGGAGATAAACGAGGTGGATAAAAGGGAAACACTGCCATAGAAAGACCGAAAGAGCTCTCTACCCAGTTGAGTATCAAGCCATACAGACCAATGGGTATCACACTCATTCTCTGACCTACTCTGATCTGAGTCGGAGCAGCAATTGTGGACATAGTTGACCTCAGTACCCCTGAGGAAGGTCAACTGAAATTTCCACTTCTGGTGACCCATGTTGCAAATGTTTCAGTGAGAACAGGAGTGGGTTTTGTTTGTGATGTCGCAGTAATGAAATATTTTAATGTCACTCACCACTGAAGTTCTCAAATTAAAAGTTAGCGCTTGAATGAGTCTATATACGGCAGCCAGCCTTCAGCTTGAATTAATGCCTCCACGAAAAGAGCAAGTATAACTGAATAGAATTGTTTTTGCCAGGCTTTCTGCTTTTGAGCTCACCAATATTTAATTTCCACCCTCAACAAAGTGGGAAATTATGGGCTATGTGCAGAAAATCCCAGCCATGGCATACAGCAGCCATTTAATAAATCACAAAGTGATTTCCTCACCCTGTCCTTTGTCTGTCACCTTTGTCCTTCCAGGTTTTATGACCCCAGATGAACACAAGAAGTTTGAGAGTCTGAATTCTGCTCACAATAAATTCTGGGTTCCCTGTGTGTGGTTTGTCAACCTTGCAGTGAAAGCAAGACAGGAAGACCGAATCAGTGACTATGTGTCTCTAGCACACATCTTCAGAGTGAGTATCTTCACCCAGTCACCACCTTTGCCCTTCCTTCAGGTGCATCTGTCAGCTGCCAGCCCCTTCCTTGAGTGAAATCGTACCCCAAATGTACTTTTTTTTAACAACTCAGCTACTTTTGACTTTCAGAGGAATGGGAATGAGGGAGTAGTAGATAACGTGTGAACACTTAATGAGAAGGGAATTTTAAAGTGTAGAGGAAATTTATCACAGACACATGGCCTCAGATAGATGTGAGCTGAAATATTAACAATATTCTTAACAATATTCTCCACTAATTGGCTGAAAGACTCATTGAGCAAATGAGTTTTGACATCTCACCCAGGGGTGTGGACCCCTTACTGTAACATTAGCACAAAAGTAGCCATTTCACATAGGTTGGAGGATGGGTTCAAGTGTGCACTGAAGATCATGGAGTAGACTTTGCCCTGCACAGAGTTGATGGCGCTTTCCTGGCTTCACTACCAGCAGGCAGGGAGGCAGTCAGTCAGACTGCGACAGATTGAGTGCACAGGTCAGCGCACCAGCTCCAGCGCCAACAGCTCAGGCTATTCATTCTGACCCCAACAAATTACACACTTACTTTGCCCATTCTGAACTCAAAATAGCAAATGGGGTCCTATTTGCATCATTGGGCCTTAATTAACACATTTAATAAGCCTACTTTGTCAGTCAGAGGACAGCTGAGTGCTCAAACTTTGGGAACATGACCTTAGCAATGGCGACAATTGCCATTGTTGATCATTTAGGCCAAAGAAATGGAAATTCAGCCAAAGGGAATTTCAAGTCACATGTTTCTAGGCACTTTCTAGTGCTCTCCTGATGTATATAAACATGGCCCAGATTGATAGTCACTCTATAATCTATTTCTTTTTTTCCTGCAGGTAAGCAGTTCTTAGATGCTTAGAGTCACTAACATTCTTTCTTTTTAGTCTATTCTTTAATAGGATACACATGAATTTCTAAAATGTAAATCACATACCAAAAGTTTAATTTATAATAAAGAAGTTTATTTTTTTACCCAACTCTGAATTACTGGCACTTACGATTCCATATCCACAATTCTTATATTTATCTCTCTGATCTATGCTGTAGCAAAAAAAAAAATGACAACCATATCATCTTGTCCTTAGAGTCTGACTCAAATCTTTAGGTCTGAATCAAACCCAATAAGAAATATTTGCAATCATTACTGGTGACTGCACAATTTATCCGACAACCTGTCTGTCTATCCACCAATCATCTATCTGCCGGCTGCTTTAAAATCAGTTTCTATCAGTTTCCAGGAATAATTCACAGATTTTGTTTTTGTTTTGTTTAATCAGTATTGAGCAGGGGAAAAAAAAAGATGTGAAAAATGTTCTAATACTTTTATCACCAAAAATCAAGTCCCAGAGATACACACACATTGCTTACTTAGGATGTATGTTGAACAACCTCAATCAGGACTATAGCAGCATTCTAACAAGCTGGATATACTGGAGCACAGTTCAAGTACACTTTCAAAATTACATTCAGACTTTGGAAATATTTACACATCATGGTGGCAGCAATGTGTGACATTAAACATTGATTTTCTGACATTTTTGGCACACACCACAGGTACGAATACTGTGAATCTATTTTACTTCTTATCTTGTCAGCATTTTGCTTTCATGAAAATTTATGTAACATTACTTCCACTATCATTGAATCATTGGAATGATAAAACACAGAAGGGAGCCATTTGGTCTATCACGTCTGTGACAGATCTTCGAAAAGTCCTCAATTAGTCCCATTCCCTTACCATTCCCCATGGCCTTGCAACTCTTATTATTTCAAGTCTTCATCCATTTCCATTTTAAAATTAGAGTTGAATATGCTTCCACTAATCTTTCAGGCAGCATATTCCAGATCAGAGTTCCTCACTGCTTGTATTTTTTCCTACATGTCATCTCTTGGTCTTTTTGCAATTATTTTAAATTTGTGTACTCTGCTTATCAACCCTACTGCCAAAGATTTACACTTTATTTACTCTGAATTTGAATACTTTATCAAATTTTCCCTTAACTTTCTCTACTGTAAAGAGAACAAACCCCAGTTTCCCCAGTGCCCCCAAATGGGTTGAAGTCTTTAATTCCTGATGCTATTCTAGCATGGGACTAGTTAGCTCAGGTGGCTGGATAACTAATATGTTTTTCAGAATAATGTCAACAGTTTCAGTTTAATACCTGGTCCAGCTAATGTACTTTTCGAACTTGCCTCTTTTCCCGTGGGTGTAGAAAGTAATGGAAAACTACCACTGCCAAAAAAAAACTGCCAAGAAAACAGTTGAGGACGAACAACAGAGGACAATGAGCCAAGGGCTCCTTCAGCTAGAGCATACATAAAATTCTAGGAAATCTCTTCAGCATCCATTCCAAGGCCTTGAGTGTAAGATGTGGTAGCAAAAATTACTCTGCACTGCTCGAGCTGTGGGCTAATCAGTGTTTTATGACATTGACCAAAATTTCCTTGTCATTGGGTTTCTTGCCTTTATTATTAAATCCATGAACAGCCTTTGCAACTTACTTTGTTACATGCAAGAATTTTTGTTCTGACAACCCCTGAGCGCACCATTTAGATTACATCACCTCTCCTCATACTTCCTACCAAATTTAATCAATTCACACTTCTCTGTATTAAATTTCATCAGCCAGTTCATCAAACGATGAAAGTCTATCACAAGCCAGCCACATCAGTGCTTATTATTATCCCTGAGTTTTATGTCATCCACAAATCTTCAGCTCAGGTTGTTAATACATATCAAAAAGAATAATTGTCTAGCAACAACACTGCATTAATAATAAAAACTAATAAAGCTGTGCAGGGAAATAGAGTTAACCTGTTGTTAATTTTAAATCTGAGCTAAGATAATTTTTTGTTGAGCAAAGGCATTAAGGATAAAACACAGAAGGGGGGATAAAAGGCTGCTATTTGGAGTTAGGCTATAGATCAGCCATGATCTGATTGAATGGTGGAACAGACTCAAGGGATAAATGGCCTTCTCTTGTTCCTATGTTCTTATGTTCCTAGATCAATACCAGTTCAGAAGAAGTTGGTATAATGCCACTCCATTGACAGCGTGAATGTGACTGGCACACCATCTTCCCACACTCCAAGTTAACTTGAGCAAGATTAATGCATCTCAAACCTTCTCTCTTGCTGATCTTAGGCTGACCAACCCGTATTAGCTGTGTTGATTATACTCATAAAACAAATATCGCTGGAGAGACTCAGCAAGTCTAGCAGCATCTGTCAAGAAAAAGCAGAGTCAATGTTTCGAGTCCAGTGACCCTTCTTCAGAACTGTACTTGCAGATCTAAATATTTATTCTAAGCTTCCTTTTTCATTTTAAGTTTAAACTCAATTTCTTTCATCAGTCATGGATCTCTAGTTTTGGATGCCATTTCTTCCTCCCCTTCCCCCCCCCCCCCCCCCCCCCCCCCCCCCCCATAGGAATGTGCATCTATCTGAACCTGCACCATCTTCTCTTTGGAGGCTTTCCATTTCCTGTTTCCTGTTTTACCTGTCAACTTTCGATTCTATTCAACCTGGGCCAGATCCTTTTTCAACGAACTGAAATTAGCCCTTCACCAGTTGAATATATTCCCATTTTATCTTTCTTTGACTTTCGTCATAACTATTTTAAATTGCATGATATTGCGATCCTTGTTTTCCAAGTGCTGTCCCATTGGAACATGATACACTTTGCCACTTCATTCGCCAAAGCCATATCCAGCACTGTTTCCTTCCTTATTGGCCTGGTTAAATATTAGCCAAGAATGTCTTCCTGTTTACCTCATAGGAATTCCTCCCCATCTTTGCTTTATACAGCTTTAGCTTTCCTGTCTATATTAGTATAATTGCTGTTCCCCTATTATCATTGCTTCATGGTTCTTGAAACTTTCTAAAATTTGTCAGCATATTTACTCCATTATCTCCTTTCCACAATTTAGTGTCTCACAGCATATACCCAGCAGTATAATAGTTCATCTACTGTTCCACTATTCTAGCCAAATAAAATATTTCTTTGAATCTCAAAATACATCCCTTCCTTGCTAGTTTTGTCACAGTTTATTTGATATGTACTACTAGCCTCCTCTGTTTTGTCTTCACTATCTTTCCTTCATACACAGGAATATTCATTGCAGTTTTCTTGCCTTGTTTGAGCCAGGTCTCTGCAAGTGTCATTCTATCCCATGTGGCTAGTTGTGCCAGCAATTCACCAATCCTATTCACTCACATGAATTCAAACTCACACTAGCCTAACTTCACATTTCCCTCCCATTTCTGAACTGGCCTTTATATTGATGTTTCTCATTCTGAGTCCTCTCAGCGCCCTGTATCTACTTCATTATGTTACATCCTGGTACTCCCCCGCCAAAACAAAATGTTTGAATCTCCGCCCTAGTCAACCTCCCACAGAGATCCAAAGTTCTGCCTGAAGTATACACATGTGCCATGTACGGTCCCTTCTGCCCCAGAACAGGCCCTGAGGCCTCAAGAATCTGAAAATCTCTATCCTGTGCCATTTCCCCGAACATTCTGTCCTAAATTACTGCTCCTATACTCACTAATGTGCAACACAGTAATCCAGAGATTACTACATTTGACGTACAGCTCTTTAACTTCCACCTTAGATCCTGAAACTTTAACTGTGGCACCTCAATTCTTTTACATCCGTAATGTGGTGGCCTATGAATTTTAAATTGTTGCCATTTGTCATTTAAGCTTTATTGTACCTCATCGGTTTGTGGTTTGCTCGCAGTTGAATGTTGTTCAAAATAAAAACTGGCTTTGTTTTTCTGAGTTCACCCCGGACTTTTCAGCTCTGTTTATCCCTGAATTTGAGCCAGTTTAAATTATCGATCAAAACAAGCATTAAAGATCCTTATCTACATCAGTAAAAATCTTATGAATACTTGCACTTTCTGTAACATTTTGCTGAGGTGGCTGCTTGTCTCACAATCTGATTAAATGCAGCTAACATTCACCAGGAAACCAATACAAGCAGGTCAGTGGCCTGTTTTAAAACCCCGCCACATTTTACTTTCAATTACTTATGGTAGGGTGTGAAATAGACACCTGATGCCATCAGTTTCTTGCCAAATTGGTTGGGTTAAAATGATCCCCTTGCCCTGCCCAGATGTGGGTGATTCAAGGGCAATGATGCTTTTGTGTTTCCGTTTGGACTTCTCCATGTGTTCTCCATTTGAGTACTGCCACATCTCGCAGGGAACTTGAGCTTGTGGCCATAACCAAGCCTTTGGCCTCATGCTGTTAACCCTGATGTTATAACTCAGCTTTATTTTGCTTGAACCTCAGATTCCCAAACTCAAGAGTAAAGTTCAGAAGTTTCAACACACCATCCCAAACTTCCATTTGTGGACACTGATAGGAATCAGATTTCAGATCCTGAGCACAGTTTAGATGGGATTTAGCAGTTTGCAGCAAAGGAGAGGTGGAGGGAAGGATTTGTTAGGGTAGGAGTGATTGGTTGTGGTGCAATCCAGCTACAGGTGAGCACTAGTTATGGTACAGATAGTTTTCCTATAGCACGATACTTGCGTTCTTGTGTGATCTTGTGCTGTAGAAAATTGCGCTATAGAAAATCGCCATAAAAAGTCACGTTATAGGGAAATCACCATAGAAAATCGCTATTCCTTTACAGCAGAAATTTTGTGTTGACTAAATAGCGTCCACTATGCATCAATCGCGTTACAGCCAATTCACGTTAATGAAATACGCATTATGGCAGAACTACCTGTACAGCAAATTAAGCAGGTTACCTAAATCAAATCGGGAAATTATGTATTTCAAACAGTGAGCAGTATCGAAACCAAATCAGATCTCAGTGTCAGTTCACACCAAACCAAAACAATTTGTGATGAAGCAGGGTGAGAAGACGTTGCAAAAAGGAATAGCATAATCAATATTCTCAAGGACCGCTTTGTAACTACTCGTCAGACTGAAGGAAGAATGCAATGGAACTATAGATATGTTGCAATGTCCCTGTTTTGGAAATTGAGAAGTGGAGAAAGGTCCACTGTACATCTAATTGTGTTGTTCCTACAGGAGGTGAATAACTTGCGCAGCCAGTGTGAGAAGCTGTACAGTTATGACTGGATCAGTGTCCCACTCGTTTACACACAGGTAAGATTCACAGTTTTGAGTGAATTAGAGCTGCTCTGGGCAAATACACCACACCATACATAAAGAATGTAACTGAGGCTGACAGATTGGGCAGGTACGCTATTTTCTCTCAGGGAAAAGAATTACTTCCGATAATTCAGACAAGAAGGAAAATACTTCCTGCTATTGCTTCTGAGGATTTGTAGCTATGATTTGATATTGGCACAAATGCAGGGAAGTTGTGGTGTAATGGTAATCTCTCTAGCCTAGTAATCCAGAACCCCATGCTAACGTTCTGGACATACGCGTTCAAATCCCATAACAGCAGATGTTCAAATTTTAATTTGTTTTAAGAAGTTGGTTGCATGTAACCACCGTCAATTGTTGTTAAAATCCCATCTGTCCACCAATATCCTTTAGGGAAGAAAAGCTGTCATCCTTACATAGTCTAGTCTACACATGACCCTAGACCCACAGCAATGTGGTTGAATCTTTAAGGAACTGATGATAAATGCTGGCCTGGCCAGCATAGCCTGTTTCTCAGGAATGAATAAAAACAATGTTAGCCTGACAGCCCTCCATCCTTCCTGAAAAGATAAACAGCTGTATTGCAAAACATGAAGTAGTTATTTTGGTTTTAGGAAATCTACATCTGCATCTTGATAGTTTATCATAAAGTTAGACACTTATACAGGTTTAACTTGAGACAGGTCCAAATTGAACTGAGCAGAATTTCACAGTTCATGCAAGTCACTGACATATTTAAGATCAACATGATTAAAAATATGAGTACTTATTAATTCTCTGTGCAGGGCAGACTGCACATCATCCAAACTATCAATGGTGTCCAGAGCAAAACCTAATAGCTCCATATCAGTAAAGGAGAGATGTAGAGCAGATTGATTCTACTCTTGGCTAAAGCAATATATTTCTAACACTATTTTTAGTTGCTGGACGAGCTGTGTATCATTCTTCTTCACAAACAACCAGAAATTAAAACTTCCCATGAAGTAATTTCATGATTGATTTGTAGAATAAAAGACAACAGGGTCTGATTCTAACCATAATGATGGGTCTGAATTGCATTCATATTTCTACCTGTGTTTGTTATATCCCAGGTCGTCACTATTGCAGTTTACAGCTTCTTTCTGGCCTGCCTAGTTGGTCGGCAGTTTCTCGATCCAAGTCAGGGGTATCCAGGCCATGAGCTTGACCTCTACATCCCTGTCTTCACCTTGTTGCAGTTTTTCTTTTATGCTGGTTGGCTTAAGGTAATGTCTCAAAGTGGATGTGATATGAAATAATTAACAGGTGTCTAATCTTGAGTGAATATTTGGCGGACGTCAGAGAATGAGAAGCTTTCTTGGAAACCCTATTAGGAGCTCCCCAGAAGGCTAGTTGATAAATTCACTGCTCAGTGCTGAAGTGAGTCATTTAGGTAGGCCTGAGGTCCTGAATCTGACAGTGTTAAATTAGGGAATCTCATCCAGAACAGCAGTCATTGTACTACATCTCCATACGCCTGTGCTAAGGATAGAAGTAGAGACAACAGAGGGAACAAAATTCAGCCAGGGTTGCCACAGTAGTTCATGCTGGAAAGTACATGTCTTGGGACAATAAATGAGAACACTATCATGCCTTGTTATGTTTGATTTCCTGCTGATAACCTTTCTTCAGACTGACACATGAAGAATGGCTGAGGTACCCTAGGCGACTGGTACTTGTAGAGCAGAGTAGAAGAGGAAAGAAATAAACTGAAGCAAGAATTTTAATAAATCAAATTTCCTTTATAATGGTATAAAATTTCCCCTGTGATTTACTCCAATGGACTTGAATTGCAGATATTGATCAGCAGCAGAAAATACATTATTGCATAGAAATAACTGATTATGTTAATGGTCCTGAACTCTAGGAACCACAAGGTCTCATGTTCACTGGTTTGTACTGAGTTCATTGGTATTGTTATAACCAGACCATGACACACAGTAAGGTTCCCCAACACACTACAGTTCCAGATGGGACACCCCAAACTGTTAAGTTCCTGGCTAAAGAGGGATAAACTGACTCCCCTTCTTTATTCACCCATCCCCTCAGTCGGATGCAACAAGGTTAATTTAAAAAGGGTCCCGTCCCTTGTGGGTACCTTTCTCCCAGACCAAACTAAATTTATGCTTTTAAAGGGCCAATTTAATCAAGCCTTCTTGAATTAACACAAAGAGTTTGTTAATTACCACACATGGGAAGAAATACCAATGCAACACACCGATTAGAAATGAGGTGAGTCCAAAAAATAAAGATTAAAGAAAACAGATATATGGGTCAATCTCATTGTTCACAAAGAGTAGACAGTTGAATGTGACAACTATTGCAGGGAAGGTTACAGGTAGCATTACTTTGGCTGTTAAACAATCATTAGTTTTGCGCATTAGTTAAGATTCTGTAATTCTGTGTCCTTTGAACTGTGATTGAATTTCAGCATTGAGGATGAATACTGCCTCCCTTGTGCCTCAACTTCCTCAGAATCTTGGAGTTAATGTTTCAAGTCTGATACGACCCTTCTTCTGAAGAACCATTACCAGACTCAAAATAATAACTCTATTTCTCCCCACGGATGCTGCTAAATCTGTTGAGTTTCTTCAGCATTTTCTGTGTTTGTTTCAGATTTCCAGCATCTACAGTATTTTGCTTTTATCACTCGAAACTTGTATGTTTCAATAGGATCGCCCCTCATTCTTCTAAACTCTAATGAATAAAGCCTTACCTTATTTAGTCTTTCTTGATAAGCAACCCCTTCATTCCACAGTCAGCCTAGTGAATCCTTTTTGAAAAGCTTCTAATGTCAGTATATTCCTTTTTTAATACAGGGACCAAAACTGCGCGTAGTTCTTCAAGTGTGGTCTCACCAACACCCTGTACAATTGTGATAAAACTTCCTATTTTTAAATTCCAATGCCGTCCCCCACCCCTTGCAATGAAGATCAAAATTCCATTCACTTTCTTAACTGCTTGCTGTACCTGCATACTAACTTTTTGTGTTTCATGCAAGAACACCTAGATCTTTCTCTGCTGCACTTTTTGGAGTCTCTATTTAAATAATAATTTGCCTTTTGATTCTTCCTTCCAAATGGCATGACCTCACACTTTTCTAGAATGAACTCTAGCTGTGAATTTTTAGCAGATCAAGAATCCACATCTTCAGAAAAGCAAGAGAGAAATCAATAATATGGCCAGTCTTTTCTGTATATTCAGTATATGTAACAAGGGAAAGCAGGAAAAATAATAAATCTGAAAGGCCAGTTTCATTTAACACGCTTGTTTGAATCTTCACAGGTTGCTGAGCAACTGATTAACCCTTTCGGTGAGGATGATGATGACTTTGAGGCAAATTGGCTCATTGACAGAAATTTCCAGGTAATCAATAAACTGTTATAGATACCTGCTGTTCAGAAATTGGAAGAATAAACATCCACTATAGTCCTGTCAGTAAAGGGGAAGTTTCAGAAAAGTCAATCATTTGTTATGGCTGTAGCATTCTGTTTGTGCGCATATAATGCACAGTAATGATTGGCTACTGTTGTAGACATTGGACCATTTATAGATATTAAAGCCTTGCATACAATTGGAATGGCAGAAACAACAACAAGGGTTTAAGCTTAGAACTTTATCATGAGGCTCAACCATTTTCAACTGCTTCAATGACTTTCTTTCCATCATAAAGTCAGATGTGAGGATGTTCTCTGATAATTGCCCAATGTTCATATAATGAAGCAGTCCATGTCCATGTGCAGCAAGAGCTGGATAACATTTAGGCTTGGGCTGCTAAGAGGCCAGCAACATTCATGCCACAAGTGCCAGGCAATGACTATCTACAATAATTCAGAATCTCACCTTGACATTCAGTGAAACCTCTGAGAGTTACCATTGACTTGAAACTGAACTGCATCAGCTACATAACTACTTGGCTACAAGAGCAGCTCAGACACTGAGAATTCTGCAGTGAGTAACTCACTTACTGATTCCTAAAGCCTGGCTATGAGTTATAAGACAAAAGTCAGGAGTGTCATAAAATACTCACCACTTGCCGGGATGGATGTAGCTCCAACAATACATGGAAACATAACACCATTCAGGGTAAAGCAGTTCACTTGACTAGCACCCCATTCACCATCTTCAACATTTACTTCATTCATCACCAATGCACAGTGGCAACAGTGTGTACCATCAACAAACTGCACTGCAGCAACTCACCAAGGCTCCTTTGACAGCACCTTCTACACACATGATCTTTATCACCTTAATGGACAAGGACAGCAGATACCTCGGAACACCATCCAAGTTCCCTCCCAAATTACACACCATGCTGACCTGGAGTGATATCGTCGTACCCTCACTGTCATTGGGTCAAAATTCTGAAACTCCCTTCTTATCCACATAGTAGGAAGACCTACTATCTGTTGACCGCAGCAGTTTCAGAAGGTCACTGACCACCCCTTTCAAAGTTCTTGTGATTGGCCACTTTCAAGGCCAATTAAGACTGGCTTAGCCAATAGCATGCATCTCCAATGAAGGAATAAATGTAAACAGATGAATTATAATTGTTGAACCTGGTTCATGATTTAGTGGGTCAATGGACATTAATGTCTTACTAGTCCAGCTGATGGAGTCTTGAACTCCACTGAGCTGAGCTGGTAGGACCTTAGTCTGGATAAATCCTAGCATTCTGTTAGAGAAGCTTTAGCTGCCAATGAATGAACTGAAGAAGGTTGAGACTCCAGCATTGGAGATCTTTCTCTTGCAAGACTGTTGGCACCATAAACTTCCAGGTATCAAAGCGGATTGGAGCTTAGCCTTATTTTTATTAGATCAAACTAATGTGTCTTTACTCTCGGATGAGTTGAATTGTTGGGCTTTTAGCCTCCAAAAGTATATAAAATTATCTTTGTCACTCATCGTGTGAGCACTGTCTCCAATTGATGGGAATGGAGATGTGAAATAATCTTGAAGCAAAACAAAGCAGAGCATAGCATTAAATGTAGCTGCAATTATCGCATTAAATAATGGCTAATCTTTTCCATAGTTGTCTGGATTCTTCTGATTTGATGACTGTATTTCTAATGTAAAAGAGTGCAAGGCTCAGACAGAATAACAAGGAACTGTGAACATTGGCACAGTGCTTAAACTTTAAGCTGCTGAATAAACAGTAACCCATATCCTTGTTCAGAACTCTAAACAAAATATGCTTAGTCAGTGGGTTAATTAAGTTTAACATGTAACTATGTGGAATTTGTGTTTATTCAGCACTGTGGAGAAAGCTTACTGGACTCAAAGGATTCCTGCTTATTCAGTATTGTGAGTTATTGATTAGGTAATGGTACAGAGATTTTGTTCTTCAGCTGAGTTGATAATTTATGTATTCTGACGATTTTTTAAGGTTTCTCTCCTGGCCGTGGATGAAATGCATCAGAACTTACCAGCTCTTGAGAAAGATAAATATTGGAATGACAATGATCCAAAGCCTCCATACACAGCAGCAACCACTGAACACCGGAAAACCTCCTTCCTGGGCTCCACTTTCGATATCAGGTTAATTATTTTCACAGAGAAATTCTTTATGAATCAGAAAGAAAAAAATATATAATTACAGTGGCAGTAGTTACCTGTCTGTCAGATGAGGCACAGTCTACGTGCTTAAACATCCAGCACGTCACCATGGCAATTGGCCATTTTTACATGCGCAGTATGTTTGATTTTCTTGTCCATTGCTAACTTTTATTGGAAGGTAAAAAAGCAATGTCAAGGAAAAGAGAAATGTCCGTAAACATATAGGAGGGAAGGAACAATTACTTGGGAGAACCCAATTCCTTTTCTTGAACTTGTTCTTAACAATATAAACTTCCATCCCTCCATCTAATTTTACACCCCAGGACCCTCTCCCTCTCCACACTTACAAGCTGGCCCTTAACAGCCCCTCTTATGGAATGCAACCACCACAATATGGAATCATAGGATCCCTACATTATGGAAGCAGGCCATTCGGCCCATTGAGTTCACACCAAACCTCTGAAGGGGACCATCCTACCCAGCCCCAGCACCCCGCTTACCCTGAACTTGTAACCCTGCATTTCTCATGGACATCCCTGGGCAATCCACCTAATCTGCACATTGTTGGACTGGGAGGAAACCAGAGCACCCAGAGGAAACCCATGCAGACACAGAAGGAATGTGCAAACTCCACACAGACAGGTGGAATCAAACCTGGGACCCTGGCACTGTGAGGCAGCAGTGCTAACCACTGAGCCACCATGCCGCCATGTGGAGCATGATTCTATTACTTGGCTTCATTCCAGTCACCCAGAGCTTGAGTTCCTGCCAATAGCAACACAGACTTCTGGCTCTCATGCGCACACAAATTTCCAGCACCTCAGCAGATGAGCTGCATTTGCATAATTGTGGTTCATATGTCTATGTAGAACATAAGCAGATGGCGGCATGATAACATAGTAGTTTAAAATTCAGATCAGCTGAGATAGCTTCATGAGATTAGTGGCATCAGTTCACTCTATATGGGAGTCCATTTATTTTTAACTGCTCAAGTTTCCATTACAGAGTGGATAAAGTAATATGTTTCCAGTGCGTTCAGAATGCACTTACATTGTGATATTTTTAATAAAACTATGGATCCCTTTCTTTGATATATGGTCAGTCTGAGGTGGTACATGTGAAATCAGAAGCTCAATGGGTGGGGAATTGGACACTAAAAGCCATAAGTACAGTAAACTTACCGGTGCTTGCCACCCAAAACAGGCTTCCTCCACCCGCCAAATCTCCAACACTACCCAGGACCTTCCCCACAATTTGCCCACTGCCATTGGCAATGTGGCCACTGTCGGAGCACCCATGGATGACGTCACATCCTCCGCCGCCGGGTACGCCACTTCCGGTACAGCGAACGCCATCGACACCATTGCTGATGCCACCGCCTCCGTTTCCAAGGCCAACACCACAGACACTGAGGACGCACCTGCCGACATCGGTGCTGCCGCCGCCTACCCCGCTCCGCCCACTGCCAATGGCGACGTTGCTCCGCCCACCGCCAACACCAACACAACTCCACCCACCGCCAACGCCGACGTCGCTCCACCCACCGCCTCCACAGCCAGCAGCTCCAGAGGAGACAACAGCACCCAGCCCTGCCGAGTCTTCACCACCCCCCCAGACCTCCCCCTTACTGAGGACGAACGGTCAGTCCTCAGTAAAGGGCTCACCTGTATCCCCCTCCACCCGAACATCAACGAATACCGCTCACACTTGGACGTTGAACAGTTTTTCCGCTGCCTCCGCCTCCGCGCTTACTTCTTTAATCGTGAGCCTAACCCTCCCCCTACTGACCCCTTCTCCTGCCTCCAACACACCTCCTCCTCCTGGACACCACCCCAAGGCCTCCTACCCACCCTCGACCTCTTCGTCTCCAACTGCCGTCGTGACATCAATTGCTTCAACCTCTCCACCCGTCTCACCCACTCCAACCTCTCCCCCGCAGAACATGCAGCCCTCTGCTCCCTCCGCTCCAATCCCAACCTCACCATAAAACCCGCGGACAAGGGAGGCGCAGTTGTAGTATGGCGCACTGACCTCTACATCGCTGAGGCCAGATGCCAACTCTCCGACACCTTCTCCTACTGCCCCCGTGATCATGACCCCACCCCCGAGCACCAAACCATCATCTCCCAAACCATCCACAACCTCATCACCTCAGGTGACCTCCCACTCACAGCCTCCAATCTCATCGTTCCCCAACCCCGCACCACCCGCTTCTATCTCCTTCCCAAAATACAGAAACCTGACTGCCCTGGTCGACCCATTGTCTCCGCCTGCTCCTGCCCCAATGAACTTATCTCCGCCTATCTCGACTCCATTTTCTCCCCCTTGGTCCAGGAACTCCCTACCTACGCCCATGACACCACCCATGCCCTCCACCTCCTCCAAAACTTCCAATTCCCTGGTTCCCAACACCTCATCTTTACCATGGACATCCAGTCCCTATACACCTACATTCCCCATGCAGATGGCCTAAAGGCCCTCCGTTTCTTCCTGTCCCGCAGGCCCAACCAGTCCCCCTCCACTGACACCCTCATCCGCTTAGCCGAACTCGTCCTCACCCTCAACAACTTCTCTTTCAATTCCTCCCACTTCCTACAGACAAAGGGGGTGGCCATGGGTACCCGCATGGGCCCAAGCTATGCCTGCCTCTTTGCAGGTTACATGGACCAATTCCTCTTCCGTAGCTACACTGGCCTAAACCCCACCTCTTCCTCCGTTACATTGATGACTGTATCGGCGCGGCCTCGTGCTCCCACGAGGAGATCAAACAGTTCATCCACTTCACCAACATCTTCCACCCCAACCTTAAGTTCACCTGGACCATCTCTGATACCTCTCTCTCCTTCCTGGACCTCTCTGTTTCCATCTCTGGCAACCACCTGGAAACCGATATCCATTTCAAGCCCACCGACTCCCGCAGCTACCTAGAATACATCTCCTCCTAACCACCTTCCTGCAAAAATGCCATCCCCTATTCCCAAATCCTTTGCCTCCGTCGCATCTGCTCCCAGGATGAGGCATTCCACTCCCGAACATCTCAGATGTCCTCGTTTTTCAAGGACCGCAACTTCCGCCCCTCAGTGGTCGAGAACGCCCTCAACCTTGTCTCCCGCATTTCCCGCAACTCATCCCTCACACCCCCTCCCCGCAATAACAACCAAAACAGAATACCCCTCATCCTCACGTACCACCCCACCAACCTCCAGATCCAACGCATCATCCTCCGACACTTCTGCCATCTGCAAGCCGACCCCACCACCAAAGACATTTTTCCCTCCCCACCCTTATCTGCTTTCCGGAGGGACCACTCTCTCCGGGACTCCCTTGTCCACACCACATGACCCTCCAGCCCCACCACACCTGGCACTTTTCCCTGCAACCACAGGAAGTGCTACATCTGCCCCTACGCCTCCCCCCTCACCCCCATCCCAGGTACCAAGAAGATTTTCCACATCAAGCAGATGTTCACCTGCACATCTGTTAATGTGGTATACTGTATCCACTGTTCCGGTTGTGGCCTCCTCTACATCGGGGAAACCAAGCGGAGGCTTGGGGACCACTTTGCGGAACACTTACGTTGGGTTCGCACTAAACAACTCCCAGTCGCGAACCATTTCAACTCCCCCTCCCATTCCTCAGATGACATGTCCATCCTGGGCTTCCTGCAGTGCCACAACGATGCCACCCAAAGGTTGCAGGAACAGCAACTCATATTCCGCTTGGGAACCCTGCAGCCCAATGGTATCAATGTGGACTTCACAAGCTTCAAAATCTCCCCTCCCCCTACCGCATCCCAAAACCAGCCTAGCTTGTCCCCGTCTCCCTAACCTGTCCTTCCTCCCACCTATCCCCTCCTCCCACCTCAAGCCCCATCCCCATCTCGTACCTACTAGCTTCATCCCGCTCCCTTGACCTGTCCGTCCTCCCTCGACTGACCTATCCCCTCCCTAACTCCCCACCTACACTCACCTTTACTGGCTCCATCCCCGCCTCTTTGACAAGTCTGTCTCCTCTCCACCTATCTTCTCCTCTATCCATCTTCTATCCGCCTGCCCTTCTCTCCCTATTTATTTCAGAACCCCCTTCCCCTCCCCCATTTCTGAAGAAGGGTTTAGGCCTGAAACATCAACTTTCCTGCTCCTCCGATGCTGCTTGGCCTGCTGTGTTCATCCAGCTCTACAACTTGTTATCTCTGAATTCCAACATGCTGCGGCATTACCAAGAGTGGACATCAAACAAGGCAGATCTGAGGTTTGTCGCTGCATAAGTCTTAGCAAATGCCACTGTTCTGTGGTGAGTTCCTACCCTCGTCTCTGCATTCAGGAAAATGTGCTAAACAAAGACAGAGACTCCCCAGAGAGAACAGGTATATTCGGAAGGGCCACTCATATCTTTACTCCAAAACTGAATCTCTGAGCTGTTTCTGTACTTCACTTTCTTCCACAATCTTTTTGTTCCTCTGTCTTTCTCTGCCATTGTTTCAACTCTTGTATACATGGATGAAAGGGGGATGAAAAGAACATGCTCATGATCCAAAAGACTTCGAGCTAAACAGATACTGTTAATTCTAGGCAACAGTACCCCAAAAACCTCATGGCAACACCCAGTGCAGAAGAATACTTCAAAGGACAATACAGAGAGTGTTACAGACCTGACAGATGATGTGCAGGGACAAAGGAAATCGGAAGTTCCAAGGCAGAGGTATAGGTTGCACATTGAAGTGGTGCTCTGTGGGAGTCTCCTGACTCTGACCTGAGCCAGTGCAGCAACTGACCAGAAATTGAAGATTGTGAGAGTCAAAACCAAATGGTCTTTGTGCAAAAATAGAAACTGTAAATGAAGCAGTAATTCAGGCTGAAAGGGCAGTCATTTTTCTTTAAAACATTGCAGCTTTAATCAAGTGTCAGTGTCATAGCCCACAGAGAGAACAAGGCAGGGCTAGAAAAATTAAGCAGTAAAGGTCACAAGAGAAGTTCATACTT